CCTTCATCACATCCTAACAGTCCCAGAGACAGCTTTGTTGCCTTTTACAGAAAACTGATCCCCATTTCTGGGGAATGGGGAACCCTGATCATGTTGCAGCTTCACAAAGAGGCAATTACCCTGGATGGCCTCTGAAGCTCCTTCCAGCTGCAACCTATGGCCTATGACCTTTAACTGTTCCATCCTCTATAAGAGAGATGTCTTCTGCCTGCAGAGGGGAAGTGACTCACCTAAGTGGCCTTTTCCACGTCTAATGATGATGCCTATGGCTGTCACATTCTGCTCCACTCTTCTGCAATATGGTATAGTAGGAGATTCACTGGATGTAAGGTCGAGGACCTGGGGATCAAATCTCAGCTCTGCTTCTGTGACCCTGGGAGAATTACTTCACCTGTCTGGGTCTCAGTTTCCTCATCTGTAAAATAATGGAGGACAGACAGGATAATTTTAGATTGACAGCTAAAAGGAGCTTTAGAAAGTATCTAGAGCCACCCCCTCACTTAACAGATGAGAAAACAGAGAGCTAGAGAGGCAATGTGATTTTAAGGTGCCTTCTGATTCAAAATCCTAATCTCCTGAGCTGATAATAGAGTTTGACATTAAATCTACCATACCCAGTGCACTTAAAACCAGGGAAAACATTGGAAACACCAACCTTCCTGCCCTTCTCCTACTCCCCAGGTTGCCTCTGTCTATATCTGCAGTCTCATTTTGAGTAGAAGATCTAATTCTTTGCTTGACCTGCTGGCAGGGTACTTTATTTGGATGGGATCCATGCTGAGAAGGGGGAGTTGAACAAAGAAGGCAGAAAAGCAGCGACTCTGAGCTAGTCTGTCTGCCAAGGAAAGAAAGGGGGAAGAGTCTTTCTAGGAGGCCAGAGGAAAAGGGAATCAGACAGGCGAAGACAGCCAGGCCAAAGAAGTCAGAAGTCAGGGGGGATAACGGAAGGAATGAGATGGGTGAAAGAAATTGGCAACAGCAAAGAGTCCGGAAGTAGGAATTTTCAAAGCACAAGAGGCAGGAAGTCTTAGTTTGAGTTGACAAAAATAGCTAACATGGAAAAAGAAATCAGAAACCTGACTGGAAAACTTTCTGGGAAGCCAGAACCTGCAGGGGAAAAGGACAACTCAAAAGAGACCTTTTATGCTATCAGACTTGATCAAGGATCTGACCCAAGGCAATCAAATAAGGCCACTATGTACAAAGAATTCTGCTAGGCACTGGGAATACAAAGACAAAAGAATAAGCAGTTCCTGCCTTCAAGGAACTTACACTCTACTGGGGGGAAGCAATATGCATACAGGGGAGATATATATATATACAGATATATATACATACATACATACATACATATACATATATATACATACACATATATATACACATACATACATATACATGTATATACATACACATATATACACATACATACATACACACAAACACACACATATATATATTACATATACACACATAGATAGATGATAGACAGAGAGATGAAATTTTCAATAAGAGAGCATTTAAAATTCAGAGGATCAGGAAGGGCTTCTCGTAGAAGGTGACTTACCATGAACTATGGCATGCAAATTAATGGGGGGAAAATTAAGGTGTGAAGGAGAGGGTCTTCTTGAGAGTGGGAGGACAACCACTTTCTTTTTGCTGTAGTTGTTCATCAGGAAAGCTATTTTCCTAAGCCACTTTCTACAGCTCCCTTGCTCCAGAGCTACTCTACCACACACTTCCAAAGATCTTATCATCCAGCTAGGATTTATCTATGTCCTGGAAAGTTCATAGTTCACATCTTGTTTGGACTATTTCAAGGGCTGCCCCCTCCCCAATTATTCTCTCTGCTTCCAGTCTCTCTCGTTCTTTAATTTGTTCTTTACATCACTGCCAAACTGATATTCTGAACATGCAGAATATACCATGTAATTTCTCTACCCAGAAATCATAAATGGCTCCTCCAGGATAAAATATCAAATCCTTGGTCTGGTATTCAAAGCCTTCCACAACATGGATCCCACCCAAGGTATGTGGGAGCAGGAAGGGAGAGCCAATTGTTAAAATTTCAGTATGAGCATTTACACCTCACAAATTGTCAAACATTACAAAACAAAGCTTAATTTAATTTTTGCTAGTTGTCTAGACTTAAAAAAATATTAATAACGTAGATTAAACTTAAAACTGTGTTGTGCCTACATTTCCCACCAGCCCTTTGTTAATCATTTACCAGTAGACTGCTGTTCCTACCTACCATTCCACTTACATCACTTTATTCCCCTTAATAGACTCTGTATTCCAGTCACACTGGTTTTCTTCACATCATTCTCTGTTGACAACATTCCATTCCATTCTACCTCTATGCCTTTGCATAGGTAATCCCTTGCATCTAGAAGGCTTTTCTTCTTACCTCCATTTTTTTGAGTGTCTCATTTTCTTCAATGCAGGACAATGATCCCACAGGTATCCTATGTGGAGTTTGACTGCATGCTATGTGCTACCTTAATGACTGACAACATTAACCTTCATCTTCTTCTAATTGTTCATTTCCTTACTAATTCTATATCTAGCTTCTAGGGCAATAAGAGGTTCTGTTCTGATATTTCTTCATAAATTAATAGAAATGAATAATTTCTGTCATTAATTAATAAGCTAGCTCTGAGCCCCCACCTAGTTTATAAATAAATTGGAGAAATATTTTTCCCATAAACTTCACTTATTTCTCTCTCAATATCAAACTTTAGTCTCAGAGTCTTAGTCAAATATCAGTGTTCCTAGCCATATAATTTATTAGCAATCTAAACAGAACAATACAATATTTTTAAAGAAAGGAGTGGATTTCACAAGTTATCCTCTAAGATCAGGAAGCCAACCCTATTATTCTTTTTTTTTTTTTTTTTGCTTTTTGGTGAGGCAATTGGGGTTAAGTTACTTGCCCAGGGTCACACAGCTAGTAAGTGTCATGTGTCTGAGACTGGATTTGAACTCATGTCCTCCTGACTTCAAGGCCAGAGCTCTATCCACTCCAACCCTATTATTCTTATAGTTAGAGAAACTGTTCCCCAAAGAAGTTAAGTAATTTCCCCAAGATCACATAGGCTAATGATGAGAAAGTTAGAGCCAGAATTCAAGTCACTGGACTTTCAGTCCTGGGTACTTTCTACCATACCATAACATTTCAGGGGTATCATTGTCAGGAGGAATAACAAGTCATAACTAAAGCAAGCTTTCCAGTTGCCTTAATCAATTCACAACTCCTAATAATTCTTAATCAAGTTAGAGAATCACCGTCTCACATTGTTTCTGTTCCAACTTTCCTTGGAAGTTAGTAGTGTTTTAATACCAAGTATGTAAAATCTCATGAAGATTATATTTTATTTAATAATTAATGCTTTCCTTAGACTGTATTTCGGTAAAGATCCTTTCCTAAGTGACGTAGGCATTGGTTCAACAAAAATTCAACTTGGATGATTCCCATGGTTGGGGGAAGTCAGGGTCACCTTAATTGAATCATTAACATGCAAGGGAGAGAATGATAAGAAGAGAGAAACTCTAACTGTACAAGTAAGATTTCACAATGCCTGTTTAAGATGTAAATGACTGAGGCCACAGAAGTTCAGTAGTTTACTAAGCTGTAATCTGTATGATCCTTCAAACCACCATCTTGTTAAGAGAGCTCTGGTTTCATATAGTTGGTTCCACAGTTGAATTTGTTGTTGTGCAGTCATTGTTTAACTGTGTCTGACTGAATTTTCTTGGCAAAGATACTAGAATGGCTTGCCGTTTCCTTCTCCAGCTCATTTTACAGATGAGGAAACTAAGGCAAGGAGGGTGAAGTGACTTGTCCAGGGTCACACAGCCAGTGTACGAGGCCGGATTTGAACTCAGGTCTTCCTGACTCCAACGCTCTATCCACTGAGAGACCTAGCCAATTTATACTGACTTCCCTGGATTCCTCTAAGTCCCAACTGAAATTTTATATTCTATAGACAGCCTTTCCCAAACTTCTCTTAATTCCAATGGCATCCCTCTGTTATTTTCTCTTTATCCATACTGGGATAAACATACTTGTTTGCTTGTTGTCTTCCCCATTCATTAGATTGTTAATCTCCTTGAGGGTAGGGACTGTCTTTTGCATTTTCTTTTTGTATCCCCAACAGGACAGTGCCTTGCATGTAATAGGCACTTAATACTAATTCACTGATGGTTTAATAGGCTTCCTGTGACACCTGGGGCAGGATAGTATTGTAAACAACCCACATCAAGTTAGCATACAGGTTTCCTCAATCCAAAGGAAGGCAATGCGTCACTTTATTCATCAACCAACAAGAGAGTGTATCATACACGTGTCCACTAGGTGGCTCCAGCCCCCAGCTAAGAGGTCTCAGCTGAGCTCCCCCCCCCCCCCCCCCCCCCCCGCAGCATATATGCATGAAATCACTTACTACCCTCCTGATTCCCAACAGGGTTGGTCGCCTGTTTCACTGGAAGGATTCAGAATTTAGCTAGGGCCTAAAAATGAAGTATTGCTTTAAAATATAAGAAAAGCGATGGTCTACCCCCACTCTACCTCCATGTTTCACACTTTGTTGAACAACCACCACTCTCACGAAGCCTGGCCTCCACTCATTCTACTGTGCCACAGTTTATTTGTCATTGAAAAATGAAAGAAAAGTTAAGTGCTTCTCCGAGGAGCTCTCCACCCAATGCTCTCTCCCTTCCCCTCCCAGCGTTCCCTCTCTGGGGGCTAGAGGTAGACATTCCTGAAGCATTCCGTTTTCCTGCCATGAATCGTAGAAAAGATTAAGGGAAGATTGAGTATCTGGGAACATATCACAGAATCAGCTCTGTAAGTGAGTGAAACATAGGGTCAGAGGAGAGGCAAGCCTCCTGACCTCCCCAGAGTTGATCTCTGACAGTCTCCCTCTCTGAGTCTAGACAAGGGTCAACTTCCTTACTTCCCTTCCTCTCAGGTCCCTGCCTTCTGCTCCAGGGTCTAGACAGACAGATCACAGCCACTCCCTGGTCCCTGCACAGGAAGCTCTCTCAAAAGCCTCCTTTTTCCATCTCTAGCAGCAACTTGCAGTCTGGCCTCATTGCTCTCTTGTATGCCTATCCACAAGTCATTGTCTCGAGGGGAAAAACAAAACAAAACAGGAAAACCCAAGATCTTCACTGTTTCCCTCCTTCCAGTCACAAGGTTTCTCGTCTCAAAACAAGTGAGTAGCCTTTATCATAAGCCTTCTGAAACGGCCTTTCAAAAGTTGTTTTCTTTTGCATTAATATGACGAGGACGATGAGGGTTTTGGAGAGCAGGAAAGGGGCGTGGGAAGGATGGGGTTGACGTGCAGAGTGTGAGGAAACAAAAGATGGTGCCCTTAGCTTCCTATAGACTCAAAATCACAAAGATTCTATAGTGGAGCCATAGGGCAGATGGTTGTCATGGTAGCAGTGGAGATGCTGATTTGATTATATATCCCAAGCAAGACATGGAAAGGGAAGGGTGGTACATGCCTGGTGGCAAGGCATGCATGGTGAGTGCCTGGTCCTACTTGAAGATCAAGGCAGGGACTAGTGACAGAGGGATGAGGCACATTTCAGGCAGTCACCTCCCAATTCTCAGTAAAATCAGTTGTGTCCTAGGTCTCGCTCCAGTATTGAGCAGATTATCTTCCACAGTCCGTGAAATGGTCCAGTCATTCTGAAAGGTGTTTGAAATTACACTCATCTAGCATAGTTTCTCAAGGCCAAATGAGCCAACACCACCTATCTTGTACCTAGTCATTGGTATTTTCTATTTTTTTTTCCTTTTGGCTAGGCAATGGGGTTAAGTGACTTGCCCAGGGTCACACAGCTAGTAAGTGTTATGTGTCTGAGTTCAGATTTGAACTCAGGTCCTCCTGACTCCAGGGCCAGTGCTCTATCCACTGTGCCATCTACCAGCCCCCATCGGTATTTTCTAGATTCAGCTCTGGGGAAGCCTGATTTCTCAATAGGGGAAGTAGTTGACCAAGTTCTCACACTCAGTTGTCACTGCCCCCACCTGAAACCGTCCTGACAAATGCTGATAATTATAGAACTCATTACAGTTAGAGCACAAACTTCTAAGTGGTTTCCCCAGAAATGAGGGAAGTTAAAAAATAATCAATTTATAATATGAATTGTGTATAGGACAGGCCACATGGAAAAACAATGAGAACTATGTGTTAACAAAATGATTTACACAGAAATTAGTATCTCGATTTATTTCTACTCATATAATCACCTGGAAAGCTAATATTTGAACTTTGTTGGGCCATAAAAGTTCTACTAATTAGCAATGTTAACACTGTAAAAACAAACAACTTTAAAAGCCTTAAGAACTTGGATCAATGATTAACCATGATTCCAAAGGACTGATGATAAAGCCTCCTACTCACCTCCTTACAGAGAGATGATGGACCCCACAGGGCAGAAGGAGACAGTATTATTTGGACATGGCCAACAAAGGATTTTTTTTTTACTTGACTATGCATTTGTTATCAGGATTTTGTTTCCCACACTCACCCCCCCCACCCCCACCCTGTTGGGATGGGGAGGAAGAAAAGAAAATTGATTTTTGTTCATTGAAAAAATAAAATTTAATAAAAAAGGTATTTAAAACTAATAATCCATGTTATAAATCATCTTAGCTGGCACCATCCAAACAGTCAAGCTTGGCCTTTCCTATGGCTCTCTCTCCAAAGCTAACTCTCCCCTAGGAGCCAGCTGACTCTCCATACTGAATCACTCTCTTCCCTTCAGCTTGTGTGCCAAAGGAGGGGAAGATGCCAGGACCTGACCTTCCAATGATCATAAGGCCAATGCTACAGAAAAGAAACACAGAAGAGAGGTAAAGGCAGCCAGAGGCCCTGGGACGAGCCCAACTAGTGTAGTTCACATGGCAGGTATGGCTCTGAAAGCCATGATGTTGGCATAGAGAAGAGCTAGACTCCATCCCTAGCTGAAATCATATCTTGTAACCTGGAAGACTTCATCTAGAAGGCCATCAGCCACAAGGTGCCTCTTCTTTTACCAAGTGCGGAACCCTGCATCACTGTGCTTCCTGCTCAGCAACCAGGCAGAGGATTCTCACTGATTATTCATGCTCATAAGTTGCCCCACCCCTCCTTTCTCTAATGCCCACACAGTCCACTGGAAGCAGGAAGAGGATATTTGTCCATACTCACAGTAAAGGGGTAGGATAAGGGAAGGACCTCATTACACTAAAATAGTGACTTAACATCCATGCCTTTTGAACCTAAGATCCTAATACTAGGCATATATACCAAGGAGATCAGTGTTAAAAAGAAAGGCCCCGTATACCCCAAAATATTTGTGATAGCATTTTTTTATGGCAGCAGAAACCTAGAAACAAAGGTAGTGATGTAATAATCCATTATAAGAAATTGTGGATATTGAGAATACAGGGAACATTTACACAAACTGATGCAAAGCGAAGTCAGCAGAACCAGTAAAACATCATACACAACAACTACAACGATGTCAATGAAAATAACAAGAAGAAAAAATAATCCAAACTGAATGCTGTTAAGTGATAATGACCAAGCTTGGCCCCAAAGAAAAGACAGGAGCTTATACCGCTAGTCTCTGAAGAGGTGGGGGATAACGATTGTCGAATATGGCAGATAAGGTCAGATTTGGTTGAAGGTTGATTAGTTTTCTTGAACTCATTTTTCTCTCTCTCTCTCTCTCTCTCTCTCTCTCTCTCTCTCTCTCTCTCTCTCTTTCTCTCTCTCTTTCTTTCTGGTAATAAGCAATATCCCTCTGACTGCAGAAGAGGGAAAGAGATAATGGGAAACTTAGGTGGTTCAGTGGATAGAGTGTTAGCCCTGGAGTCAGGGGGACCTGACTTCAAATGTGGTCTCAGACACTAGCTGTGTGACCCTGGGCAATTCACATAACTCTGTTTGCCTTAGTTTCCTCCTCTGTAAAAATGAGCGGGAAAAGGCAAACCACTCCAGCATCTCTGCCAAGAAAACTCCCAATGGAATCACAGAGTTGGACTAAATGACTAAACAGCAACAATAGATGACATCTACAAAAAAGATGCAAGAAAATGAAATTTGAAAAAATATATATTTCCCAGGTTGAGTTGGGGATCCTTTGGTCCTGGACTGGTGCATACAGTAGAAGAGGAATGAAAGAAGGGCAGATCATAATTTCCTGGTCTAAGGTCAGTGGAGTTCTGTCCTACTACCTCTACTACCTACCTCACAGATTGTTGCAAGGATTGAATAATAATGTATACAAGGGCTTTGCAAACCTGAAAGCCTTACATAAGCCTCAGCTATCATTTATTTCAATAAGCATTTATATTCAGCCCCTACTGTACATAATTTAAGGTGCTGCATTAGGCATTGTAGATAGAAAAAAAAAAGAACCAATTCTTGCTTTCAAGGAGCTTACATTCTTTTTTTTAGTATCACCACCATGATCTTCACCACTATTGTCATCATTTTCTCCTCTTTTTCAATGGGTTTCATATAGACATGGTGCTGGGACAAGTTGATATACAGCTATTATTCTCATATTCAATATCCTACAGGCTATTTGTTGTACAAGTGGGTTAAAATGACTGATTTTTATAATTGAATAATTAAACTATTATACAGGCTTAAAGAAAGCATCATCAACACAACTTCAAGATGACAGGGATGATATTATATACCTCATTCTGTTAGCACATGGTTTTGATTTCTTCTACTAAACCTTGGGAAATTTGTTTTGCTTGACTGTGCATATTTGTTATAAGATGTTTGTTTTTCTTCTTTTTTGGCAAGGGAAGTGAGATGGGAGGAGACAGAATAAATACTTGATAATTACAAAGGTAAAATATAATTTATTTATATAATTTATAATTTAAATATAATTAAATACAATTTTAAAAACTGTATATCCTAATAAATTAATTTGTCCTTACCACTCCATGTTTTATTATATGTTGCATCATTTCTACCAGATCTTCCCTTAAGCAGCATCAAATAGTAAGTCTGGGTTCCTTAAGGATAATCGTTCTGCATTTTCTGGTGGGAATGCCCTAAATCCCTATCACAAATCTGTTAATTTTCCTAAACAAGTTCATGTGCATGTCACCCATGGAGAGCCTTTTGATGTGACATTTGAAGTGTGGCCATCTGGAGGCAAACCAATATTAGCTACATTCAACAAATTCAATACTATATGCCTATCTTGCTTCAGGAACTTACTAGCTTTGTGGGCAAGTCACTTCACCCTGCACCTCAGTTTCCTCATCTGTAAAATGAGCTGGAGAAGGAAATGGCAAACCACTCCAGAATCTTTGCTAAGAAAACTTCAAATGGGGTAATAAAGAGTCAGACACAACCAAAACAAATTGCTCTGTCCCTTTGAAACTAACTTTTTAAAGTTGCTTGTCATGTGCTCTGCCATCTATCAATTCTGTTCCTCTTTCTTCATCGGGAACTGTTCATCTTTTTATAGGCTGATTTTTTGTTTTTTGGAGTAATGAGTCTTATGTTTCTCTTAATACTGAATGCGTCTTTGGATACTTTCTAAATTCATTTCTGTCCATTTTATTGTTCCAAAAATGTTCATTAAAGCTCATCTTTCATAGGTATTAATTAATGTGTTCTTCCTGTTGATCTTTATATTTAGCAGACCAGCAAGTAAGCCTCTTAACATATTCAACCTTGTATCTTGCTCAGAGAATACTAAGGTATTTATAAGTATTGCTTTTATCCATTGCTTCAATTTGACCTGTGGGTTCAAGCTCAAAACCTTCAGTCTCAATTTTTTCCTTAGTATCCATTAAGAATTGTATACTTGTCAAGTCCAGACAGTGTATCCCAGTGGGTAGAACACAACTGTTAGTACTAATGGTCCTGGGTTTGAATCCCAGCTCTGATATATCCTACGTATATCACTTTAGATAACTCAACCTTCTAAGAATTCAGTCGCCTCATCTCTAAAATGAGATTTCTCTATTTTACAGAAGGACCTCTAAGGTCCCTTTAAGTTCTAGGTCTATGATTCAAATGAAATTTTGGTATCACTGGAGAAAATTTCCAATGATGGTGATTCCTCTTTCTTCTCATCTTTTTCAATGAACTTTTTCAAATAGAACTGGTCCTGGGACAAATCCAATTTTATTTTTTATAGTTAATATTCTACAGACATAGGGACAAAATAACTACTTTTTTTTAGTGGAATAAATGCATTAGGATGCAAGCTCATTGTTTTTGTAAGATCACCAAAAGCATCCTTGGTACAACTACAATAGGAGACTGGACAAGAAGGGTGGCATTTACCACATTGTTTTCCCCCATAATTTTGATTTCTTCTGCTGAGTTTCTGTATTTTATTATTCTATTTGTTATAATTATAAAATACATTTTATAGGTGTACAAATATATTATTTTGAAAGATTTTCATTCCACGCAACACGGAAATCTGTATTCCTAGATAAGTATGGCTCATCTATTGAAAATACTATAATCCTTTCTGATAGTGATGATCTGACCCTGAACTACCATCATAGATCCCTCAGTTTCCATAAACAAATCTTCATGACTTTGTTGGTTGTCGGATATTTCAATATTGAGGCACTGCGGAGAGAGTTCATGTGGATGTCAACCAGGAAGGAAGGGCCTTTTGGTTCCATTCTTGGATCTTGGTTGTTTCATAGGTCAATTACTTTCGTTTACATTTGACAGATCCAGTGGCTACTTGCCTAGAAGCTAGAGTTTGTCATTAACCTGGAGATAACTGTTTTGTCATTCATTTGATCAAACTCACATTATTTTTGTGCTCTTCTTCTCCCAAACCAAGCTAGATGTTCTTTGTCCACCTTCCTTTGGGGTTCTCTCACTTCTGACTCCTCTGCTTCTCAAGTCTTTGAAATACAATTTTACATGATGATGAATTGTTTATTTTGTCCTTTGCACTGCTTTCATTCCTCATAATGCCTTAATCTTTTGACTTTGTTTCCAACTGCCATTTAATGGAATCCAAAATTTCTGAGATGCTTTGTTTTCCACTTTCTGCATTCTATATCCCTTCTTGTCATTTTAAATTAGGCAATCTAGCATTCACGTTTTCTACTGCATACATGAACTAGATGTTGATATGCTTTTTGAAGACTTCCAATAGCTCTCTACAATCACTTCTGCCATGATGTTATTTGATACTTGTCCTTAGTGTTATTAGCTAAAACGAAGTTAAATATTATTAAAAATAAAATTAATAAATTAAGATTATTCGTAAAAACGTCTTTCTTCTTATGGTTCTTACCACAACAACAACTGCAGCATAGATTACTGTGTGCAGGTGCTGAAATGTGTTTACATTTCTTGGCAAATATTATGGGGCAGGGGAATGAATTCATTCATGATGGTTTTAGCAGGTAGAGTTTTTTAAAAATTCTTTGTTTTAACATAATTGATCTGCTGGTTAGATTCATGCTGTCAAACTCAAAAAAGATTTTTCTGAATTCCAGTTTAAGTATTCCCATTTTCTTTTCAAAATCCTTTGCTACTTTACTGCTGGTTTGGTCATCTTTAGTTGTTAGACATAATTTCTAGAGTTCATATTGTGAAGAATTTCTATGATTTCAGGGTATTTTGGTTTTCTCTCTTCAGACTGTGGTGTGCCACAGTTTTCTCATCTGTAAAATGAGGATAATAATACCTGTAGCAACTACTATTGCAGGTTTGCTTTGAGGCAATCTCCTTGCAAATCTTGAAAACACACTGAAATCTGGGCTGTTATTGTTATTCTTTAGTGAATCACAAAGAGAAGACCCAAAAGAAGGGAACACCGTGAGAACTAGAAGCAAAGTCCCACAGGGAGCTCACAGCATAAAATATTTTAAACTGTGGGGGGCCAAAGCATCAGTTCCTGTTGTGATATACACAGTGTACCCAACATGTGGCCTAAGAGGAAAAAAAACCCCAGTGGTGGGAAAAAAAGAACAACTCTTGAATGGTGCTGGATTTAGCTGCCATGTGTGTAAAGGATGTAACTGCACTAGTGTGTGTTCCTCTGTTGAAGAGTCAAACTGTGAGTCACAAATGACAACTTTTGCTAAGTTTTTTTCAGTTTCCTGTCCCCAGAAATGCCCTCTTATAAACAACTGGAAGAGCCCCTTCTTTGATGACTCCCAAGAACTTCAGGGACTTTGTTAGCAAAGGTGGCCGCAGCTCAGTATTTGAGGAAGATGTTGGAGGATCTATAATCAATGCTGTGAAAGTGCAAAAGTGAAGGCAGATGGTAGTTAGCACAACTGCTAGCAGTACTCAGTTAATCACCCTGTGTAAACAGCTGATTAATAAACACTGGATGCTAACGAAGCATCAAAATTCTCAATAGATCATTTTAATAGCAGTAGTGGGGGGGTCAGGGTTAAATTCATTTTGTGTATGATTTTTAACAAAATAATGACCGATAAAAATGATTGTAAATGAAACTATTTTTCCGTCATTTATTTTCTGAAAGAAAATAGAACACTGAATCTACATCAATGTTAAGAATTTAACAAGTAACACAGCGACAAAACTGTTGCGTTCATTTCCACTCTCCTTCTGAATTCTTTTCTATTTTTTCAGGTCTGTTGCAGTTATTCATCATGTGTTTATAAACCTGTGTTCAGCGTGTAGACTGTTCTTCTGATTCTGCTTTCCTCATGCATCTCCCCATATTTCTTTTCATTCTTCACATTTGTCGTTACTAACAGTGCAACGAGAAGCAGCTTAGCATTGCAAACAGGCAGCTAGTCTCAGGACCAGGAAGACTTCTCTTCAGTTCTCACCTCTGACCCATGCTGGCTCCAGGACCCCTGGCAAATCACTTAACCCCTCAATGCCCTAGGCAACTCTAACATTCTAAGTTGCAGAGAAAGTACCAGACTGCACTGGGAGAGGGAGTCCCTCACCTGGGAGTTCCCAATACCAATGAATTCACAGATCAGGTCCCTATCCCTACAATGCAGTAATATTCAATCAATTCAAATAAAATTCTGCTTTATATGTAATGGAGGGGAGATGACCAGGGTATTCCTAATTAGGGAATCCTAATCCTCCACCCCCCAGCTGATGAAATCACAGAAGATAAGGGGCAGATACCAGAGGAAAAGTGTTAATGGGCCAAACAGGGTGCAAAGACAATGAGACTTGCCCATATCTGTTACTTTTCCATAAGGTGTGAAAAGGTCTCCATCAGAAGTGATGGAGTTAGAGGACAACTAGACAGTGGATGGACAAAGACTGGCCACGTGTCTGGTGACTCTTCAAAAAACTGAGACACTTTTTCTAAGGCAAAATATATATCTTCATGTGTCATGGACACCTTTAGTACTCTGGTAAAGCCTTTGGATACCCTTTCTCAGAATAATGTTTCAAAATGCAAAAGATCACAATAGGGGTCATAAAAGAAAACTATATCAAAGTATTTATAAAAATAATTAAAAAACCACCCCCAACAAGTTCATGGACTCCACATGAAGGATCTCAGCTCTAAGAAATCAATTAGTCAAGACAGAGGCAGCTCTGTGGAATGTGACCTCAGGAGGCAGGGGAGAGATCCAGTTATAAAATAATCCATCCCTTGAGAAGGAATAGCTCTTCACCTCTTGGGAGTCTGAATTCCTTTTTCCTCCCCCTCCCTAACTGGCCATGACCTCTCACAGCAGAGATGTTCATGCATCTCGGGGCTGGACCAGTAATGAAAAAAGGTGACAGTTTTGAGGAGTGTGACACCTGAGTTGAGAAGAGAATTAGCCCTGACCACTGGGAGCTGAGCTGCAAAAAGGAACAAGCCTAGGGAATCAGCTGAGCAACCTGCCCAGCAGAGATG